TTATGTGCTAATTTCCCAAACCTTTCAGTTATTTTACAGCAAGACTACCTAATTGATTCTTATTATTATGAGAAATGATCTGTTATGATTGAACTTTTTTTTAAATAATCATATACATGAATAGTAGAGTCTTAACGTTTGCAGTTTCTTATATCCTGCATGTTGGCAGAGGTTGGGAATTACAAATCTAGAACTCTAGGTTTATGACTAAATAGCTAGAAAGCTCCTCTAAATAGTAAAGCTTAAGTTATTTTTTCTTTATACTTATAATAAATGCGTGACTATTAATAAGTCGTGAAGCGCAAAACATTATACCGTACAACTTGACTTCTATTATTCTCCCAGTTTATATTATCTTCTGAAGACAAAAACTTTTGAGATGTAATAGAAGTTCGTCCTTGGAAAGAAATAAGAATATTAGATGGATTGGAGTAATGAGGGAGTAGATTTTGAACTTAAGTATCATACAAGGTAACACTTGTTAAAAAAGCGTTCACATAGTTTTCGGGGGACTTCACTCAGTGTACCAATCGAACTCAATTCGTTCACTTTCACAGTTATGGAACTTGTTGTTGAACTATTAGGTTTAAAAATGACTTCGAAGAGGACTGAGATATTTACACTGACTGATAATTGAGTTGTGGCCATTAGTGTCGAGTGAATTCCACTGATTAATTCGCAATTTGGCGATTAGTCTAAGTGACTTTATATCTTGTACACCGTGCTTTAATGCTGGGCGGGTGGAGGCATTTTGAAATTATAGTTCTGTAACGTACTGGGTAGTGTCAAGGATCTGCAAGTTGTTCATTCTAAATGATCTTGGTTATTGATCGTCTCAGTTTGTAGACTATGGCTGAATATATCAGAAACTAAGAAAATTAAGTACACAAATTTAAAACAATAAAACAGAACACTGATGTCAACATTTCAGCAGAAATCATGTGGTAACACTAAAGTAGAAAACTTAATTAGATTGGTTATCACTCAGAAAATTTGATCACCCTATAAACACTAGCCCTGAAGTTGAGATGAGTAGGACCTTGAAAACAAAAAAATCAGATATGGATTATTTCAAAGACATGAAAATCATCAAAAATTACTCAAATACCGGGACATTGAATATTTATTTTGTTCATACTAGCACGGCATAGATACACAAATTTTAAGTGGGTTTTGGTAACTTATAACACTTATGACAAGGGTGTGATATCCATCTTTCTATCTAATTTAGTGTGCATTGTACTTTAATCTACCTCATAGTACTTTGTGTTAGAGAAGCATGATATTCGAAATTAAATTACAGGAGTTAGTTGTCTATATTTGTCATACATGTTTTTTAATCATTGTTTATGCTGAGGATAGAAGCTGGTAGATATGGCAAAATGGTTAGTTATTTGGTCGATACCAGTTTGCACACACTCAGCTACTACGTACTTTGACTGATTACATCAAACATTCGTTATTGGCTACCTACTGTCTAACTTGAAACTAATAAACAGGGACATTATTACAGTCTTTACTGATTAGGACTCTTATTTTTTACACCTCATATTTGAACTTTGAACTTTTAGCAAAGCTAACCATTCGAATTGGTGAATTTGAGTTTAATTTTGTCAGTACCGGAATTATTAACACTATGTTGGTCCCTTAATTTTATCTCTACTCTCAAATTTGTGTGAATATAGATTTATTCTCTTTTAATATTTATCATTATTTCTATAGTAGCTACTTACCCAGTAATTGGTAAACGTTAAAATTATTGAATTCCTTACTCTGTGGTAAGTTGACTAAACTGAAAATAGGATAATAAAATAAAGAGCGCTATTTCAAACTGAAACCATCTTTTTGCAACTACATATTTGTTCCCAATAAGATGAACATCATCCTTCAACTTTTCCGGACATTTGTTCACTTAAGGTCTCACAAAGTGACCATTCTGGAGGTAAGTATATTATTTTGCCTTATCGGCTGTGAAATCTGAGCAACAATCTTCTAGTGAAGGTAAACAACTTGATAAGCAAAACTACAAGATTTTTCTCATGGATAAAGTTTTTGTCTTTAAAAACAGAGAATTTATGAGGACATTTCTGAACAGTTCACGAGCCCAGTACCAAATACTTTTCGGCTGACTATCAACTTTCTTATTCGATAACCAATCGGTGGAACTCCCCACCTTAATACGTTGTTGAAGGGCCATCTATCGACGCGTCCAAATGAACGTTAGATTCTTGATGAAAACAGCAGTTTGCTTCAAAAGGTTTGTTTATTGTTGGTAACTGCCATTTTCCCAGAAGAAAGCTCGCAACGAGGGCTTAGAAGACAAGAGGGACTTCATAGCTTATGATCAGTAGTTACTATTAGCTGAAATCAGTGTATCAGAGATTGACAATACTACCCGTTTAAAACACAAAGGCTTAATTGTCGCTGTTTTATCATTAATTGAGTGAAATACGCAATTAACCTGTTGAGAGATAAACATTTTTCTTACAAAGTCCCGTTAAAATTTAGAAATTTGCTTGGAGGCTTGTTTCTTATTTGTCGTTAGTTAGGTTTGGATCGACTATACAGTTTTCGGAAGAGTTGAGAAGCAGAACACGGCTCAGTGTAAAAATTTCTATGTTATTGTTATCGTTTACCATGTCATTATCTACAATACCATCTTAAGTACATATTTATCGCTAATTATGCTGATTTATACAAATCTTACTTTTACAATCACTTGTGTTTTTCATCCAATTTGCTTTGTAAATCTGGGGGTTCTCTGAGTATCTTTTGGGAGAGAAATACGATTAGAATTTATGTCTTTTTCTTCAAAGTAATGGGACGAGTTTTGATTTTTTTCGGAAAATGCTATTCAGTTAGCGACGAAGTACATATTTTCATAGTCAAACGTTTGACTTTTTTTAGCCTTATTTGTTTGTTAACCATGTAAGCAAACAATACTTATATAATTAAGAGAAGTAATCTCGAAGAATATTTTCATACTTTGATACAGAAATACAAGGCTTTTACATCGAGTGACAGAGTTCTTTTGCTTAAGTAAAGAAGACTAGTTCAGAAGTCTTTTGTAGTCTCCTCGTGAATTGACTACAAATGTATGGCTGCAATGTAAACACGTAACATATAACTTGTACGAAGTAAATAAGTAGCATCATCACTCTTGGAAAAAACGACAAAATTCAAAGATCAGATTAGAAAAACGATGCATATGCCAAGATATGTAAATATCTGAACATTTTCTAGATGATCCACGTACTATTGTTCTGTTAAAAAAGAGTGGTGGAAGTGGCGGGTGAAGGTCAAAGGAAAATGTTCTTGAGTGCTCTTAGAAGTATGAGGGCGGTTATCACTTCCCAGTTGCCCACACTGTGGAAGGGTTCTTCTGGTGGTACCTAAAAAGAAAATTGGATTAAGGATGATATAAGTGACCTGAGGTCGTGATCGCAGTGCCTAAGGGACAACTGCTTGAAGCCAACCACACACGACCTTTTTGTAGGAAGTTTTCGTGTTAGCTCCGTACTTGTTGAGACCTTATCACCGGAGACGGATATCCGTAGGACAAGGCAAAATGGGCATTTTCAGGGTCGATCTTTTCTAACCCCACCCCTCCTTGTCGAAAAGCAGCATCCTTGCTATGTTTGTTGTCTGAAGAAAACACCTTACTGACGTCACACGTCTGTACAATCAGCAGTACGACTTCGCCTTCGACCTTTTAGTTTTACCGCCCTTCAACCGACCTGTCTGGCATGGTGGGACCTTAAAGAACGATTGTTCCAGCCAGTTTGGCTCAATTAGTTCATCACGATAGGCAAGCCAGACCACCACGTCGAGGTAGCAACAACAATATAAAGTTTTAAAGCAATGTACCAATAAATATAAAGCCCTCATTTTTGTATAACTTGGAGAAAACATTATGTAGCAGCCATCGACAGTTAAATTGTACGGTTCGATATATGCTTATTCTTAAAGTCTGCTTCTATGCCTCGTACCGTTTTGGAGAGTTTTTATTACGAGATGTTTAGAGAAATATATTTTCTGGACTGTAAGTTAAAAAACAACATTATAGTATACTATAGTTTTAGTCATTACTTTTGGTTCGGACCGGTTTTAGTCGGACGTAATGTAGTTGTTAAATGAATACAACTCCGTTGTATCTCGACAACTGTGTGTTGTTTCCTGCAATAATACTTATAAAAAACCTCTTAATTATCGTTTATTCCCTATTATTAATATTTGTGAGTTTCCAGATACTAGCACTCCTCACGGTGATATGGTTTGTTTTGATAATAAAAATTTAAACATCGGCAACAACCCATTGCCAGTTCTCATAAACACTTAATTAGATAGCCTGGTCTTCCATTCCTCACCCACAAAAACATTATTTTAAATCTTCCAAAGGTCAACCAAATGATAATTTATGTAAGTCCCTAAAACGTCGCATTCGATCGCGGGTTCTAAGTTTTACATTGATAAAGAGGGTCATACATGTCTATGGGTTAAAAATCTCTTGTTTGCAGAAATAAGCCACAAATGACTGTTTTGATTTTGAAGGAAAGAAATTTATTTGCCAGCAGTGTTACATAAAATAAATTTGGAAACAGAATTAAGATCACACAAAATGCAAATAGAAGATGTAAAAAACAAGTAAGAAATCCATCCCGTAAGCTATTTTACAAGTGCCAAAAAGAAGAATAATTGTTTTTCTAATTTAATAAACAATTCAGACATTTAAATCCTACGTTATTTAATGTTATACATGTTTGAGATGATATGCATATATAACTTTCGTAACAGAATAGATAATCTGTGAAGAGGGCAAGAGGTTTGAACGAGGCCACAACAGTACATAAACAAAATGGATTTGAAACTTTTGTAGGATGCATGCGGTTATTTACATAGGCTAATAAAATATATTTTGGATATTGTATTTGACTTGGAGAATTTTCCATGATGGTAGCTAATTAATTAATATGCTAATAGACAAGGAACCACCGGGAAATTTAAGAAGTTTTGAGGAAGTCCAACGCATTAGTACGCTTTTTAGTCACCATAGCTGCCTGTTTGTGTTCTGCAAGTGTCAGTGGTATATTCATAATCTTTTGAATAATTTCTAACCATTTTTCCTGTTCTTCTTTTTTGTCAGCAACAAATACGAAAGGACGTGCTGACGTGTGAATAGTTAATGGGTACCCATTATGACGGTTCCAACCATCGGGAGTGGTATTTGTTACAGAGTAGCCTTCTTTGTTGGAACCAATAAATAACTCTCCTTTGGCGAATGGGCTTAATGGGTTATCGGTATATAAGAAATGACGATTCAAAATCATGCACCACCGGCGACGCCAGGCATCGTTCTTGCGTGGTCCCGTTTTAGAGAGCCAACCAGCCATATCAACGTCTCTAGTTAGCCTTTTACTCAGTTCAGCTGGTGACAGTGTGACACCCATACCACTGAGACCAAGGCATAGACGGTGATACTTGCCTAAACGTATTGCATTGTACCAATTGATTATGGTTCTACTATCTTCGGATCGTATAAACATGTGTCTTGTTGAGCAGTCTTGAACGAACTGAATGAGTGCAGTATGTGGTGGGAGACCATAATCCTTAGATGGGATGAATGTAAAATTAAGTCTTTCTAGATCCAGTGATTGTTTAGGTTGTGAATCGGACGGTTTAATGTAATAACGGAAATAATTGCCTTCAACGGACAGTTCAAAAAAGCGCTCACAAAATGTAGTGGAGTCACGCAACTTTTTCAATAGTACACCTGACTTAAAAGAACACGCAAATTGACTTTGAGCCCCTCTTGCTATAGCATCGCTGGTAAACTCTTCATGAATGTATTTTGATTTTATGAACGCCTCTCTTAAAAAAATAGGACATTCAACACCGGGCCATGGACGACGGAAATACACTGGTAGTGATGCTTCTAGATTTTGGTTAATAGCTTTGTTCCCTCCAAACTTCTTCAAACGCGACACACTATCATCTGACCAAATAAGACTATTTTCTTCATCTGTAGAAATCCGTTTTATGTTTCCATTCAGTGTTTGGTGAGAAACTAGACAGAATAATGACAAATTACCACCAATTATATTCAATGAGACTCACCACCACATAGTTCACAAAGAAAAACTCCATAAGATAAAGAGGCATATTTAGTTACAGCATGATGGCAGTCAGCACAGATTTTGTTGCATGGAGAATCTATTTGTTCACGCAGGTTTTTTATGTGTTCATCACAGTTACTCATGTTAATACTTAAATGAACGCGCGTTTTCAGTATCCAATGACCAAATTGAAAAATCGGTTTGTCGCAGACTAAGCCGTTAGGTAGACACTTAAATACACAGTGAAAAGCTTTGATATAGAGATAGATGTTTCGTAAATTATCATGCGAGGCAAGTGATATACTTTACAAAACATAAAGCTCAGTCTTTAGGAATTCCGAAATTACTGTTTGTACAACTCAAGTGGGTGACGAATAACGGAAGTACAAGTTAAAAATGTGAACCGATCAGTTGATGTCACAGGTTTGCTTCAAATGCAAGGGTATCTGCCCTGTGATGTTGTATGCTTTCTAACTTTCAGAATAACATGTTGAGATGTATCTAGTTTACAGTTTGGGAAGGACAGGAGGCTCAGTGGCCTATGTTACTCCTGGCAATGGTGGTCTCTCAGTTCATCCAACTTTCTTTTGAAAGAGTCGACGGATGGAGCCTCAACCACGTGCTGAGGTAGTGAATTCCACTCGTTGATGATTCGATGGGAAAGTCGATAGTCAGCTGACAAGTAATTTGTTCTCCGCTTATGAACTTTTTTGGAGTGTCCTCGTAAATTCTCTGTTTTGGAAGACAAGAAAAATGAGGGCATGTTAGGTGCAAATTTATCACTAAGCAATTTGTAGACTGTAATCAAGTCGCCTCTAGTTCTACGATATAGCAACGGGAAAAGGTTTAGCTTGACCAGTCGAGCATCATACGGAAGCTTCGCTATTCCGAGAATCAGCTTAGTTGCTGTACCCTGAACCTTTTGCAGAAGCTCACTGTCTTTTTTTAAGCAAGGGCTTGCCGCTTGTATGCAGTACTCAAGTTTAGGACGAACGAACACTGTGTACAAAGTCAAGGACGTTTTAGCGTCGACATGACTAAAAGACCTACCTATTGACCATAAGGTTCTAAAACCTTTGGCGGCTATTGCACGGCAGTTTGCAGTAGTATTCAAGTCTTGGCTAACGATGACTCCTAAATCATTATGTGTCTGGACGACAGGTAGCTCAGTGTTATTCATCGTGTATGTATCTGTACCTTTATGACCGACATGCATCACAACACACTTGGAAGTATTTATCGGCAACTGCCGGGTTTGAGACCATTCAGATAATTTTTTCAGGTCATTTTGGAGTTCCAAGTTATCATCCTTACATCGTATCGTTCTGCATATCTTAACATCGTCAGCATATAGCAAGACCGATGATGATAAGAGACGGGGAAGGTCATTTACATATAAGAGGAATAACACTGGCCCCAAGACTGTAACCTGAGGCACTCCACTAAGCACAGTTTCCCAGCTAGATAACTTTGAGTTCACCCATACTCTTTGTTGGCGCCCAACTAGGAAGTCTGTCATCCACATTAATAGATTGCCTCCAATTCCGACATTTGTTAACTTATATAACAGCCGATTGTGTGGAACTTTGTCAAAAGCTTTGCTGAAATCAATGAAGGCTACGTCTACAGGTAATTTTTGGTCCTTAAGAACGCACCAGTTTTCACGAGCCACTAATAGGTTAGTGAGACAAGAATAACCTATTCTGAAACCGTGTTGCTTCTCCGAAAGGATCCGGTTTTCATTGAGGTACTTAAACATCTTGCGAATAATCTTTTCTAAGATTTTAACAACTACACTATTTAGGCTAACGGGTCGGTAATTCCCAGGTTTATGTTTCGTACCTGTTTTGAAGACAGGACTTACTATGGCGTTCTTCCAGTCTTTTGGTAAACGACCCTGCGTTACGGATAGATCAAAGCATATACTTAAAGGGTCCTCTACAAAGTTAAATAATTCCTTCAGTAGCCTAGGATGCAATTCATCGGTCTCCGTGGATTTACCTATGACCAAAGATATCAAGTTCTTTGATGGTCACGCAGTCCAGTGTTTGTGTGGAGGATTTGTATGGACTGACGGGAAGGGTGTTTCTATGATATATAGATTGTCAAAGTAGTTTGAGAATACTTGAGCCTTACCGAAGTCGTCCTCCATTAATGATGAAGCAGTACTGTCTCCCTATAGTGCAGGAATATTTCCTCTTTTTATCCTTTGGTTTATATGGGGATACAAGCGTTTAGGAAGTTCTCTGGATTCCTTAACAATTTTCTCTTAGTACAACTTTCTAGACTTACGGAGGGTCGAGGCACAAGTATTCCGAGCCTTTCGATACTGAGATTTTGACTCATCAGTCCCCAGCAACCTAAATCTATCCCACATTTTCCTTTTCTTACGGAGAAGGATACGGACCTCCCTACTGAACCATGGTGGTGAGTTTTTCGGCCCCCTTGGTATAGTCCAAGGGATGTGAGGTGTGGTAACTTTTAAGTATGAATTTCGAAATGCGTCCCAGGCCATTTCAATGGAGGACTCTGTGTCTATTGTCCAATCTATTAACGATGCTGAGTGCATGATATCTGGTATGTTTGCTTTCCAGACGTTGAGTCTGGACTGGACTGACGCGTCCTCGTGACTGGCAGTTATATGGAAGTCGAAAGTTAAAACTGCGTGGTCACTTTTACCTAAGGGTGGCATATGATGGAGGTTCGCAACATCATCCTCATAGTGAGTCAGTATAAGATCTAATAAGGATGATTCAGTGTACGGATCGTAACTTGTCGCTTCTTTCACATGTTGCACTAGAGCACATGTGATAAATCCATCAACTAGTTCCTGCTCGAAAGAATTTTCCGACGATTAAGTTCGCAGATTTTCCCAGTCTACCATAGGTGCATTGAAGTCCTCTAGGATTAGACATCTACCACTTTTGGACCAAGTATTGAGACTGCTTAACAGGATCTCATTTGCCTCACAGCTTGGACTGCGATAGACCAAACCAATCAGCAGCTCTTGTCCCTTGCATTTTAAGCGAAGACTAACTAATTCACACGTCCCACTCTCATGGGATACACTATCGATAATGGCAAATGGGATAGCATTCCTAATGAATAGAGCTACTCCCCCTCCTTTGCGCTTTTGTGTTCTATCGGCCCTTACTAACGTAAAGCCCTCGAAATCAAGTTCCATACTGTCTATAGACTGTGTCAGCCAGGTTTCTGTGACTGCGATTATGTCTGGCTTCGTAGAGTCAATCTGTACACCTAGTTCCGATCGCTTATTGAGTAAGCTTCGGGTATTAGTGTAACAGATCCGAAGCCTGTTTAAGTGGCTTCATGCTTCACCCAGAGTGGCTTCGGCATCATTCTCTGTCGAAGTCTTACAACCCGAAAATTTACAATTTTCAGGTCCTTTTCGCCAGCGTCTAACCTATGTTGTAGTTCTTTCTCGGCTTCCCGTCTTTTAACACGGTCTGCCAACGGTAGGTCCTTTCGGATAAAGACTCCTGAACCCTTTAATTTGTGTCCATTTTGTAAAATTAGGTCACGTTCGTTCGAAGAGCCGAATACTACATTAAGCAGTCTGGAATGATTTGATTTCGAGTCCGCTAGACTCCCTGGTCGGTACACTTTTAGCAAGGTGACCCCAGTCATATTTTGAGGCATGAGTTGATTAAGCAGCTGCCTAATCAGTACAATGTCATGCTCAAAACGAGCTTTAGGTTCAGAGCTATCGCTCTCCTTAATTCTATGAAAAATAGCTGATCTGTCGCTATGATTAGCTTTCGATTTTTCAACTACTTTTACAGGAACAGGGTTCCCTTTTATATCCCTACTTTTCTTCCTTACAACCTGCACCCATTCGTCAACGGTGCTGGAAGAAGCGACAACAGTTGCGTCAAACCTAGTGTTGGATTTTGGGGGGTTGTCGGCGACCTGAGAGGTCGGGTTACGTTTACCGCTTGAAACCGATCGAGCCTTGCGGTTGCAGGTTCTATGTGTTTCCTGTTGGATCCCATCTGGGAGACAGGGAACAGAAGACCCTACTTTTCTTGAGCTTTTGTTTAAGGCAGGCCCCTTCGGAGACTGCTTTTCTTCTTTGACGGGCGTGAGTCATCTATCATCAGACTAACCTTAGTTTCCTTCACGTTGATTTGCGTGTCGACAGATCGAGTGCTGTTTGACGCGTTCCGACTATGCTTGCTAAAACACTTCTTTGCAGCATCAACCAGTGAGATGGCCTCGGTTAACAAGCTGTTTGCATCCGAGCAGCACTGTTGACAAAGCCATACACAACCCCTCTTACTGAACCGTTTGAAAGCAGCAGGCGTTAAGTTCGTGCAAACTTCGTGGTACCAGCCTTTGCACTCGTCGCACTGCATGCCGCTTTCAACAGGATAACGACAACCCTGACGTTGGCAACTGCTTTTTTTACACTGTCCGGTCATTTAGGAGGGGTTCTTTTTCAAGATGCGATGATACTCAGAAACAAAAAAAATAATCAATGACCAAAAATGTGAAGAGCTGTAGAATGCTAGGACCAAAAGTACTAACAGATACAGTTGAAAGAGGTACTCAAGAGTACCAACGACAAAACTAATTGAGAGAACAGTAAAAACGATACTCTAGTCGAATAATTTAACTGAAATAAATTCAATTAAAGTGAAAACAGTAGTCTTCATACGTAGTAAACGATCAAAACAAACAAATTTACTCAGCGAGGAAAAATACCACTGTCCTTTTTAAATAGCGCGGAACTACGTAGCTAATTTAAACTCTTAATCCTAGTGCACATTGGCCCTGGCCTAGGTCGATAAGTGTAACTGGACACTGACTTTAATCTCGTCACATCGAAGAAAACATTTACCTTCACTCTAAAGGGAGTCGTTTAGGTATCTTAAGAGACGGTGTCCTATTCGTTATCATCATAATTGGTGAATGAGGATAAATGAAAGAAGTAAAATCTAGAATATATTTGTTTTTGAGTAAATATTTTAGTAGTTGAATTCACTGGCATGTACAGTAGTAATAAATAATAAGAAACAACTAGCTAGGAGGAACAAAACTGGACTAGGAAAATAGTAGTATTAAGTTAACACCGGATTTAGACCTCTCTAACTGAATTGGATTGATACTGACACTACCAATC